ACCAACTTTTTGTTTCGTTGATTTTTTGGATTGGTTTCCGTGTTTCTATTTTGTTGATTTCAGCCCTCAGTTTGATTATTTCCAGCCTTCTACTCCTCCTGGGAGAGTCTACTTCTTTTTTTTCCAGAGCTTTCAGGTGTGCTGTTAAGTCTCCAATATGTGCTTTCTCCATTTTCTTTAATTGGGCACTTAGTGCTATGAACTTTCATCTTAGCACTGCTTCATTGTGTCCCATAGGTTTGAGTATGTTGTGTCTTTATTTTCATTAAATTCAAAGAAGACTTTAATTTCTTTCTTTATTTCTTCCTTGACCCAGTGATGATTCAGTAGTTGACTGTTCAACTTCCACGCATTTGTAGGCTCTCTGGTGTTCGAATTGTTATTGAATTCTAACTTTATTCCGTGGTGATCCGGCAAGACACAGGTGGTTACTAATATTTTTTTGTATCTGTGGAAGTTCGCTTTGTTACCGAGTATGTGGTCAATTTTCGAGAAGGTTCCATGAGCTGCAAAGAAGAAGGTATATTCTTTCCTATTTGGGTGAAATGTTCTATAGATATCTGTTAAGTCCATTTGATTCATTATCTCTAGTAATTCTCTTATTTCTCTGTTGAGTTTCTGTTTGGTTGATCTGTCCATTGGTGAGAGAGGTGTGTTGAAGTTTCCTACTATTAGTGTGTGTGGTTTGATGACTGCCTTGAGTTCTAAAAGTTTTTTTTACATAAGTGGGTGCTTTTATATTAGGGGCATAGATATTCAGGATTTAGACTTCCTCCTGATGAATTGTTCCTGTTATGAGTATGAAATGTCCATCTCCATCTCTTCTGATTGATTTTAGTTTGAAGTCAATTTTGTTAGATATTAGAATGGCCACACCCGCTTGTTTATCAGGTCCGTTTGCTTGGAAAACCTTTTTTTGGTCGGGAGGTTTTTGATAACAGCTTCTAATTCTTCACGACTAACAGATTGTTCACCTGGTCTTGATTTAACTTCGGTAAATGGTATTTATATAAAAACCAATCCATTTCTTTTACATTTTCCAACTGTTTTTGTATCCAATCTCTTAGTCTGTGCCTTTTTATAGGTGAGTTGAGTCCATTGATATTAAGTGATATTAATGACCAAATGACCAGTGGTTGTTGACTCCGGTTATTATTTTGTGTGTGTGTGTGTGTGTGTGTGTGTGTGTGTGTGTGTGTAGTAGAGTTTGTGTGTTTCTATTCTTTGAGTTGTGGTTGTGAAGGGTCAGTAGATGTCTGGGTTATTGTAGGCAGTGTTGGGAATGTTGGATTCCTTGGGTTGCAATTTTCCTTCTATTACTTTCTGTTAGGTTGGATTTGTGGCTACGAATTGTTTAAATTTATTTTTATCCTGGAATATTTTGTTTTCTCCGTTGATAGTGAACGATAGCTTGGCTGGGTATAGTAGTCTGGGCTTGCATCCATGGTCTCTTAGTTTCTGCAGTACCTCTACCTTCTGGCTTTCATGGTTTCCATAGAGAAGTCCAGTGTAAGCCTGATAAGTTTACCTTTATAAGTTACTAGACCTTTTTCCTTTGCAGCTCTTAATATTCTTTCTTTAGTCTGTATGTTTTGTGTTTTGATTATTATATGGCGAGGGGATTTTTTTTGATCCAGTCTATTCGGTGTTCTGTATGCTTCTTGAACTTTCATAGGAATATCGTTCTTTAGATTGGGAAAGTTTTCTTCTATAATTTTGTTGAATATATTTTCTGTGCCTTTGATCTGCAGTTCTTCTCCTTCTTCAATCCCTATTATTTTTAGATTTGGTTTTTTTATTGTGTCCCAGATTTCTTGAATGTTTTGTGAAGAGAATTTGTTGGATTTGCCGTTTTCTCTGACCAGAGCGTTTATTTTCTCTATGGTATCTTCAGAATCTGAGATTCGTTCTTCTATCTCATGTATTCTATTGGTTATGCTTGATTCTGTAGTCTCTTTTCATTTACCTGAGTTTTCCATATCCAGCCGGTTCTTGGTTTATGTTTCCTTCATTGCCTCCATTTCCGTTTTCAATTCTTGAACTGTTTCCTTTACCTGTTTGATTGTTTTTTCTTGGTTTCTCAGGGTATCACTCACGGATTTACTTATTTCTTCAAACTTTTTGTTATACTTCTCATCCATTTCTATACTCATTTCTTTAAACTTTTTGTTATACTTCTCATCCAATTCTTTAAGGGAGTTATTCATATCCTGTTTAAGGGACTCTATTGCTTTCATAATGGCACTTTTTTCCACTTCTTCTGGATTAAGGTGTTCAAGTCCTTCTATTGTAGAGTCGTTGGGATCTGGTGTTTTCATGCTGTTTTTCAGATTGTTGGAGGAGGTCTTGCCTTGGCGTCTGCCCATCTCTTCCTTCAAATGCTCTCTATTGGATCTTCTGGTACTGGGTCAGGTTCCCTTGTTGGGCAGGGACTTCACTGACAGAGTGCCCACCTTTCCTCCAGCAGGCTATTGAAGCACAGACACTCCCTACTTCCGGGATGCACCTACAGTCCAGGCCCAGCAGGCAAGGCAGCTGAGCTGGGGAAATTTTATGGCCCCAGAGGGAAGGGAGAAATATAGGAATTTGTACCTGGATGGAAGCTGGGATGGCAGGCAGGAGAGCTTAGCAGGGTAGAGCTAGCACTGCATGGTGACCTGGGAGTCTATGGGGTCGGGGAAAGTCTGAGTTCCTCCTCGCCAGGCCCCTGCCCTGCTGCGGGCCAGAAGCAAACTCACCCCTCCGATGGCCCTCTGGATGGAAGCTGGGATGGCAGGCAGGAGAGCTTAGCAGGGTAGAGCTAGCACTGCAGGGTGACCTGGGAGTCTATGGGGTCGGGGAAAGTCCAAGCTCCTCCTCGCCGGGACCCTGCCCTGCCGCGGGCCAGAAGCAAACTCACCCCTCCGATGGCCCTCTGCTAGAAGTCAGGGCCCCTTGCTGGTCAGGAATGTCGCTGAGCTGACACTGGGCCCACCTGTCCTCAGGGAGGGTTTTAAGACACAGGAACTGCCTCCTGCGGGATGTGCCTACAGCCCTGGCCCAGCACGCAAGGCAGCTGAGCTGGGGAAATTTTATGGCCCCAGGGGGAAGGGAGAAATACAGGAATTTGTACCTGGATGGAAGCTGGGATGACAGGCGGGAGAACTTAGCAGGGTAGAGCCACTTGATATGGTTCTTCTTTCCCTCTAATTCTACCCACCATAGCACTCACTGAAATAGGCTAGATATATGTTCTTATATATTCATTTTCCATGGTGAGATGTCATGTTTTTATATTCACACAAGTGGAGATGTGGTATATGACTTGTTTTAGTTCATAGACAGATAAATGCACCAAATATTACTAGTTTTATAGACTTATTGTTGCTAGTGAGCGAGATTTGGCTGTGGCACCTGTCACCCCATCATGTTTCAGGCTGATTCAGCTGATGTGGCTGCACAGTGTCTCCATTCTTCCTCAATACTCCAGGTGCCTCTGTTCTAAAGTATCATGCTCAGTTGATAAGGATAAGTATTTTCATAGAGGAGGATGGCCCTAGGTAAAGGGAATATTGGTAGCTGAACTATCCTGTTGGATCTTCTAAAAACATTCCCGGTTCTCACTTTCATGTCCCACTCACTTTTTCTATAGCCCTCATTTCTCAAGTTGACTCTTCAAATGGATTATAAACTGTGTCTCATTGGTGTGTGTGTGTGTGTGTGTGTGTGTGTGTGTGTGTGTGTTGGTTTTTTGAGACAGGGTTTCTCTGTAGCTTTTGATCCTGTTTGGAACTATCTCTTGTGACCAGGCTGGCCTCAAACTAACAAAGATCCGCCTGCCTCTTCCTCCTGAGTGAGTGCTGGGATTAAAGTGTGGGTCACCAATGCCTGGCTCCCATTGATGCTTCAGTGTATGATTTTTTAAAAAACATTTTTGGTCTCTCTCTTTGCATGTGTGTATATTTATGTATTTGTGCATGTGTGTGTTTGTATGCTATGACATGCCATGCATGTTGAAATGAGAGTATACCTTGCAGGAGTTGGTTCTCTTGCCACTATATTGATTTCTGTTATTGAACTCGGTTTTACAATCTTGATGGTACCCACTGAGCAATCTTGTATACCCTAATGTGTGGCTTCTTGATGTAATGGGGTTAATGTCTACTCAAATAAAATTTTTCATACTTCTTTGCTCCATTTTGCAATGTAAATAATATCTGGCATAGTACTAATATTTGTACACTATTGTTACTCTTCTGTTATGTTTTCTTGAATTCTTCCACGGAATCACTTCCAAAATGAAATCCTAGCATCTGCATTTCATACACAAAGGTGTATTTGATGAGGAAAGACAGCAGTTTAGAAGGACTTCTGTGTTCGTAATTTATAAGAATATTTTTCAGATTTTATCATATCTGCTTTATAAGCTTCCTCTCTATATGTAATTCTCAAAACCAACTTATCTAATTTTGTGGGTGGGACAGGAAAGACAAGTATCTAATATTTTTACCTCCATATAACAAAAGCCTTATCTTAATGTCACAGCCTACATAATGAAGTCTTTCTCTGTTTATCTGTGGGATTGTTTTTACTATATCTTGAATTTTTATATAACATGTGTTAGTTTTTTTTTCATCATCAAGACAAAATCCTGCCAAACAACTTAAGAGAAAACAAGATTTATTTGGTTTGTGGTCTTAAAGGTTTGTATCCATTGATTTGGGTATAAGGGTACTGCATGGTGGTCACCATGGTAACCTAGGTTAACTAGGTTTGCAGTCAGTGTCCAACTGTTAAAGGGTTTCACCCAGAATCAGATGTGTGGATGTCACAGGAGAGCTATCAGCAGTCATTACTCTCCTCCCTTTGTGCATGCTTAACAGAGATAGAGCTGCATGGTCTTTCTTCATGCTTATAAGCTTAACCCTTAGGTTCATGAATTATAATTGTCATTGAAAGGATGCTAGGACAGATATTTGTTTGCATGATGTACTTTTATTTATATGAGTATGATTTTTCAGGTGTATCAAGTCTGAAGAGAAGTCACTTGGAGTTGGATTACATGCATTTTTCATAAGAGTATTTGGTATGAACAATTTTCTCAACATATTAGATCAATATCAAATGCTTAGTAAACCAATTAAATTTTTCTGAAGAAAACAGACAGCAAATATATTGTTAAGTCAAAACAGAACACTCATCCTAAAGGGAATAAAAGGCTTTAATTTGGAATCAAACAAGAATCACCATGAAGGCAACAGAGATTTAGACCGTCTAAGTATCAAGTTTCAACATGATGACTGTTAGTGATGTTTATAGTTGGAGAATATCAGGAGTCATGAATAAGGAGCTTCTCAAACACATCTAGGGGGATGTCCAGAAGGTTGGTGACAGCATAGAAAGGAATTCCCTACTGCAGTCTCAGATGCTGTTTGACAGCATCCTTAGTGTTTGGGTAAGTGGAGAATAGCATCCAGTTAACATATCCACAAAGGCTTCATCATGTGATAGAAAATGGATATATGGTCAGACACAGGGAGGGAACAATAAATGACAAAAAAAGGAGAGAAAAAGGAAATTTGTCTCTGGATCTGTACTATCCCAGCTATCCACCTCAAGGGAGCTCCAAAGACCTCATGGCATCTTTAACATAGGTGTGTTCTGCCCATGTTACTCTGATTTTCATTTTGAAGCCCCTGTGGTTAGAAATGGCTACTGTTAATTTGTCTGAGGATGAAGTAACTTCAGAGATGAAAAATGTTTCCCCTTGTCTTTAAAGAACTTATTTGACCTTAATTACATTTTTCATCTTTCAGCAACTTCAATAATAGTATAAGAAAAAAACAGTTTTGTTAGGTAGATGTAGAGAAAACTGAAAAAGACATTTCAGAAAATAAATGAGGTTCATAATCATGAATTCATTGATTACGTCTTTAACATTTTATACATAATTTTAATTTTTTGATGTAAAAATTTTACAATAACTGATAATTCCTAAAAGTAAGCATAGAGACTTTTATTAATTATTTTTATTTTTTAAATAGGGAAACAGAATACTTTCAAATAACATATTTCTCTTTGCTTTCTCATTTTAAATAAACTGTTTTTCTTTCTCATTTATTTCCAGCGGGCATTCCAGCTCCTATTTACTTTGGTGCCTTGATAGACAGAACCTGTTTACACTGGGGAAATCAGAAATGTGGGAAGCCAGGGGCTTGCAGGATGTATGATATAAATTACTTCAGGTAATAATAATTTTGTGACATATGATTTTAGTACAAAAGTTTCTATTCATATCTAACATTTTGAGTGGTAAGATGATACTTTTTTCATTTTTAGAATGCACGTGAATGGTATACCATCCTATTTATGTATTTTGATATTCCAATTATTCCTAAAGTAGTCGATTCATATAAATGTGAGTGGGCTTCTAACCTAACCCTTCTGAATACTTTCAAAAGGGAACAGGGTATCTATGTGGACACTCTGAAGCAGTAGGGGATACTTTGTAACTCTGTCAGTAGTTGAGGTATGGACATTTCTTTACTCAAAGGCCAGTTCTGATAAGAAGAAAGGCTCCAGGTGGAGTGTCTTTGGTGCTCAACATTCTCTCGATGTGCTGCGGGAGTTCCTTCTGCTCCTTCAGCCAAAGGCTGCTGAGATACCAATCCATTGGGACATGGTCTCTCTCTCTTTAAAAAAAGCAGTGGCTGTCCTCCATTCTCTCTCTGGCTTCTGGCTTCTGGCTCCACTTCTGGTTTCTAGACTTCTTTCCTGATCACGCAGAGGGGCTGTAGTCCAGGACGGTAATCTATAAGTTTTTCCCCTTTGAATAAATAACCATTCTATTAATCATAATTCCAAACTGGTGTGGTATTGTTTGTGACTTATGCCTTCATCTGGCGCCCAGATACAGAGTATCCATAAGTGGATAAAACATTACTGTCACATCCTGCCAATACAGGATAAGATAGTTTTTAAAAGTTTCTTGCCTTTGGAAATGGTATGTCAGTTATGTTAGGCCTTAGCCAAAGTTGGTTGCTTCAATGCTGCAAACATGACTTTGGGTGTTTGCCCAGGTAGCCAGTTGTCTCTGTGATATGTTGCATGTTCTGGAAATTGTTTGACTGCACTTTCCAATTACTCCGGTAACATTCTTCCCCTTCTCAGATCTTCAATGGGGTTGAAGATTATATAAATGTAGTTACTTTCCTCTCACGACTTGGCCAAGTTATGTATTATACAAGAATTAAGCTAGTTAGAATGGGATATTTGTACTTATTGTATATAATTTCATAAGTTTGTACTTATTGTATATAATTTCATAGTAGACTTAGAACTTTCTTACTTAAACAAAAGGGAGAGGTGCTGTGGGAGCTCCTTCTGCTCCTTCAGCCAATAGCTGCTGAGATACCAGCCCATAGGGGCATGGTCTCTCCCGCTCTCTTTAAAAAAGCAGCGGCTATCCGCCATTCTCTCTCTGGCTTCCAGCTCCACTTCTGGCTCATAGACTCCTTTCCTGATAGCGCAGAGGGGCTGTTGTCCAGGACGGTAATCTGTAAGTTTTTTCCCTTTGAATAAATAACCATTCTATTAATCATAATTCCAAACTGGTGTGGGACTGTTTGTGACTTATGTCTTCATACTGTAATCAGCTGACAGCCATTCTCAGGCCAGTGTATCCACCCTAAGAGTGTGGAAGATCTCAACTATTTTTGTCAGTGTATCTGTGTGGATTACAGTTCCTTTGCCTTGGTATCCCATAATAGTGATGTATAACCTATATTTGTGAACTAAATTAACTCCTTTTACCTTTAAGTTGATATTTATTAGGGTCTTTCAAAAAAGTGAAAGAAACATAAACTGATACTTTTAAATCTATTATCTCTTTTGAAAAATATTTCTGAATTGTTATATCTGAAGTCTTTGGCATCTACACATATATACTATTTTTATGTTTCAACACTGCAGAAGTAGGTAAGATTAATGTCTCAATTTTTTTGTGGTCCCGGGTATCCTGTCTAAACAATGATCCCATACCATGACTCTATTCACAGGTCAACAAAATCCACACAGACTTTCACTGAAACTTCCTTCTCAGGAGATTCTAGATTGTATTAAGTTGACAACACTATCCATCACACCAGATTTTCCTACAAATATGTTGAGAATATGAAAGAATATTTTCATAGTTGTTTAGAAATATACATATAAAATGCCTATTTTTAATCCACATGAAGTCTAGAAATCTTAATGTATATTTCATCAAGTTTATAAAGAAAAATGCTTATGATAGTATAAAAGTTATTCTCAGAAATGGTGAAAAGGAAAATTACCTCATTTATTTTAGGAAGCATCCATAGTCTTCATGCTTAAACTGAATATGTTCAGCAAATGAAAAGAATTTGGGGATAAAGATATAGCTTATGGGATAAGAGCACATATTGTTCTTGCAAAACACATGAGTTCATTTCCCATAACCCACATTATGCAGCTCAAAACTTCCTGTTACTCCAACTGCAAGGCATCCAAGACTCCTGGACAAATGCACACAGGGAGACCCAACACATTCATATAGTTAAACAATAAAAAAATAAATTGATCTTTATACATGCAAAATTATGCATGAAAATTAACAATTTGAAGCTATTAATGTATAAAGTGACTAATAGGACATATTTTAGTTATACAAAAATTTCCATGTATAACACACATACAAATACTTAGTAGGAGAGAAACCTTGAAAAGTGACTTTTTCATTTTTTTGTTCATGTGTGATCAAACTCTGAGCAAACAAGACAGAAGATCTCTCTTAAACTAACAGGGATATTATTTTTTCAATATTTAAGAAAACAGGCAATAATGGCAGGGAAAGCATAGTGACTTAGTGTGAGGTAATTGCAGACATGGTTTGACTAGGAGGCTGGTCATGTTACTGTCTCTGACAGGAAGTGTTGAGGGCTACAAGCCCAGTCCATGGTATAAGGAACTTCATCCTCAGCTACACATTTATAAAAAATCATCCTCATAGGGCATCAAGAGATGTCTTTCAATAATGATCCTAAATCCAGTCAAGTTTAGTCAAGGAAACTAGGCATCACCAAACTGAAGAAATACATTCAAACTTTTATGTTGTTTTTTTTAACATTTTAACAAAATGTTAAAATTAAAAGTATTAATAACTGAGTAAGGTAACTTTTATAAAGTACATGGACAAAATAATCGCCTAATGTTTTTATTTGAAGAATAAATGATCTGTAAGAGTATACAAAATTATATTTCACTGATCATATTAAGTTTAATGCAGATTAGTTGTTTTCTATAGGAGTATTTTCATTGGGTTGCCAGCAGCACTAAGAGGATCAAGCTTCCTCCCAACAATCTGTATTCTGATACTTTTGAGGAAGTTCCAACTCCCTGAGGAAACTGACTCTTCAGAGACTGAGTTTACAGAGATGAAGCTCACAGAGAAGAAAAGCGAGTATATGGATATGCAGAGAAGTCCTGAATCTGATAACGACAGAGAACTGAAAACGAGGCTGTAATGAGATTTCTATTGACCTGCAAAAGAGCATGAACAGTGTGCATATGGTTCTTTTGAATTATGGGAAGTACTGTGGAAGCTATTTTCTTGTGCTTGAGGAACCCAAATTTATTTTTAATCATGATAAAAATATTTACTTATATTTCAGAAGCATTAGAGTGACACTTAACATTTTCCCAGGGAAGACTATGGTGACCCCACCACAATGAACTTCAGAGCTGCCTTCATTGTCAAACAGCATTTTCTCTTTAACTCAATCAGAGCAAGTGCACCTTTCTTACATATCTGCAAAGAGCCTTAAGACTTTCCCATGTCCAAACACTATTAAATTTCATGGAATTATGCTTTGATGTTATATTTATTTAGAGTGAAACATTTTCATCTTGGTTATGTTACATTGAAATTATTTGTTCAAATTTATCATTTCTATATGCAAAATATTAGCATACTTCTTTGTCTAGCTAGGAGTTCTTAATTCTCTTTTTTATTCTAGGTATGATGCTTCTAAAATTAGACTTCTTATTAAATGTCATCTGTTGCTATCAATCTCCTGTTTCATTACACATGTCACATATTTGACAACTTAGAGCACTGAAAATTTTAATCATATTTTTTAAAAATCATGAAGCAAAGATATTTGGAACATTTTTTCCTAGCATTTCAAAGCTGTTCATAAAACTTACTCTTAAAAGGAAGAATTTGAGGAAGCCTGTACTTTCATAGGTCTTCATAGAGAAGGGGTTGTGTGTCAGTGGTACAGTGATTGTCTAGTATGTGTGAGGTTCTGGGTTCAACATTGAAGTAGAGCAAATTACTGATAATGAAATAAATAAAGGCTGGATGCAGTATCAGATGTTCTTAAAAGACTAGTATCTCATATTCAGGTGGCCCCTTAGACCCAGAATTCATTTTACAAATGTGTCCTTAGACACATTTATTTTCAAAATAGTCTTAGAGATCATTCTTAGATCAGTTAGATGGTTCAGTGGAAAGAAATGTTTGCCACAAAACCTAACAAGATGGGTTTGATCCCAGAAATCCACGTGGTGAAAAGAGAGAACCATGACTTGAAAGTTGTCCTATGTCATCTACTCCTGTACTCTGGTGTACATGCTCCACCTATAAATAAATAAATTAATAAAAAGATGAAAGAAATTTATAAATGTTTAAAGAGTGACTTATTTTATGAAACAGGAATTAACAATATTGAAAGTACAGATTAAAAACAAAATAAAGTTGTGGTATTTTGAGGGAGAAATGTCCATCCTAGGCTCAAACAATTAGACATCGGCATTTCAGTTGATAACTGTGAGTGAGTAACTAGGGGTCCATCCTTAATGAAGGAAGTGCATTCTTGAGCTGGATGTTGAGAGTTAAAAGCATTGTCTACTTTCTGTTCACTCTCTGCTTTGTGCTTTTGTTGAACAAGTGAGTTAATCCCTAAACCCAATGAGGTTGAAATTAGGAAAGTTGAGGAGTGGAGGTCAATATAGTGTGTTTGTTTATATACAGTGAGAATATCTACATGCGAGAGAAGAATAAAGGAAGGCACAATCTTACAACTCTTTGAAGGAACCAGTCGTTCCCTCAAAGTTAAGTTTACAGTTTACAGTTTCATTACTTGAACTGAGGCCAATCCATTTCCATGAAAGAAAGGCTTATGTTGTTCATTCTCTCAGAGGTCTTAGGTCTCTTGGCCCTGCTGTTTGGAGCTGTGTCTATGCAGCACATTGGGGAGGTAAATCGTAGAAAGGAATTTGTTGGCATCACTTCAACTGGGAATCAAACAGAGATGTATGTAAGGAGCAAAGGGCCTAGGATCTCTTCCCCATGTTTTCCACCAAACTTCCTCCCTCTGTACCTCTTCCTTGATGCTTCCATTACCTGATGTGGTATGTCCTTCTGTATTGTGTGAATATGCTTTATTACCATTGGTTAATAAAGATCTGATTTGGTCAATAGCTGGGGGAAATCCAAGTAAAGATAAAGGAAAAGGAAGGTGGAGTCTGGGATATACCAGCAGCCCCCACAGAAGTAAGATGTGAGACAACAAACCAGGAGACTCATGGTAAAATATGGGAAAATAGAAATGGATTTATTTAATTTGTAAGAACTAGTTAATAATAAGCTTGAGCTAATGGACCAAACAGTTTGCAATTATTATTGAGCCTCAGAGTGGTTATTTTAAAAGTGACTGTGGGACTGGATAGAATGAGAAACTTAAAGCTACAAATGGTATACCAACATGAAATGCTCAAATATCTATATGGCATTCATGATGGAGCTGGCTGACATCTGATATGAGCTAAGCTATGCAGTGGGTGGTGGGTTTTGGCAGTCTCATACAGGCCTTGGCAGAAAGAAACTAATCAGTCAAGCACTGTGTGACAGATTTTGCTTTTGCTTATATGGATATAAAAAATGTGTGATCTGACTGTAAGTTACCTGATGGCAGCATTAGGAGAAGGTAAGTGATAAGTCAGTTGCTGAGAGACATGGATTGAAAGAAACTGGTACAGTACATCAACCTGAATGTCTTAAAAAGTGTCTTAGCTTCATCTCCTCCTACAACCTTGGTGAAACTCTGAAACACAACTTGCTCCAATAATGGGGGGACTTAAGAAGTGAGTGAACACCCACACAGTGGGAAGCTCCACTCTCTAGGTCCTCCCTAGTGAGACAAAACTACAGACCCCTCCCCTAACTCCCTTGGCTTTCCTAACTAGCCAGCAAAGAGTTCCCTTCTTCCAGCCTGCCCCAAATCGTAAACTTATCCAGCCTACTAGCCACACCCTGCCACCAAACCTGCCTATCCTCCTGCAATCTCAGAGGAACTTTGAAACACAGCTTGATCCAATACTGAAAATATTTAAGAAGTGAGTGAACAGTCACACATTTGGATGCCCAATTTAAGAAGAAAATTAAAGACAATGCAATAAGACAGATTCAGATGTTAAAGACGTTTAAATGAATCATAGTGTTAGATTAAGTAAGTAGTCTTAGGAGACAAAACTAAAAGAGTATATAGAGTCATAAAATAAAGTTAATGCTTCAAAAAACAGATAAAGTCATTCAAGAGACAGTGCACAGAGAATCATAGATTAGAAAAATAAAGAAAAATAAGCCACATAAAAATGGAAAATTCACAGAGTCTGGATTCTATATATTTTTGTGTTTTCTTTGAATTTTTTGACTGCGAAGAAGCTAAGAACAGAGAAACTTTTCATTGTATGGGCTGTTAAGCTAATCCAACATGTATATTATAAAGCTATCTTGACTTCAGAATTTGGGTCTAAGGATATGATGCTTTGGAAAAGAGGTTCTTTTGTTTTCACAGAGGATGAGACCCTGTAGATTGGTTCTATACCAAAATGTTTTGATAGGCCATGCACTCCTGAAAGGTTGTAGTAAACACCCTCAGAAAATTACTTCACTCAAATGTAGACTGAGATTAACCTAGCACACATGATATACCATAAAAGACATGATTAACAGTGCCGCCATACAGCAGGAAGAAGTTTGGAGAGAAATAACTATGGCCATAATCCCAAATATTGTTTATAAATGTTCTTTTACATTTAAAGGGGAATATGGTATAGATATGAATAATTTGCTTTGGTGTAGATTTTCCTTTATTGATAGAAATATAAGGTCAATTTTGTTATATATATATATATATGTATTTCTAATCTTGATTAAGGTACTGTGATTATGTAGTTCATTTAAAAATGTAATGTATAATTAGGAACTATAGGTTGTTAATGGATAATCATCAGTAATAGTCAAGCTTATAGCCATGTTAATTGGATTTTCTAAATATATAGGGATATATTTCAATTAGATAGGCATTCTTCATATCTTTCAAAGACTACAGAATATGACATTTAAAATGTTTTAATAACTTAGGGTTTTTCATGACAATGGGAAATGTCTGCTCCTGGCAGCAACAGCTACTTCAAAAGGAAGATGGGCATTAAGAGGCTCCTTATGGAGTTGGTTAGCCATTTGGGCTAGAAACTGCCCTTGCCTGAACTGTTGCATAAACTGGGCACAAAGAACCCACAGAGAGATGAGTGCTAAATTTGCCTAAAGGAGAGATGATCCCTCTAGGTTCCTGTTTCATGAAAGAATGCAAGACACTCTACAGGACACAGAAAAAAGGGACTGAACTGTCTTTAAAATTTCCTGCTTCATGGAAATGTCTGCAAGATACTATGGACTTGTAGGCTGAAGATGGATGCCCCAATGGTTCAGAAGAACTTTGGCTACTGTCCAGGTAGCAAGATGTCTCTGTCATTTCTAGAGTTTTGGAAGTTGCTTACAATGTACTTCCTGTTTACTAGGTAATATTATATCCTTCTGGAGTCTTAGATAGATTTGAAGAATAGATAGAGAGTTATAGTTATAGTTTTTCTTTGTTATGATAAAAGATAAAGTAGACATAAATATTGTAACTATAATTCTTGCTTCATAACTCTTTTGTTATATGTAATTTTACTGTTAAAGTTAAAGCCTTTTTTGTTTAAACAGAAAGGGGGAAATGGTATAGAAGGTCCTTGTGTATTTGTGTGTATTGGTTATTAAAGAAACTGTCTTGACCTAGTTGATAGGGCAGAACTCAGGTAGAGAGGGAAGACAGAACAGGATTCTGGGAAGAAGGGCAGTGTGGCAGATGATATGGTTCTCCTGCCCAAGATGGACACTGGTTAGACTCATGCCGGTAAGCCACAGTCAAGTGACAATCCACATTCATGGAGATGAATTAAACTGATATGTGAGAGTCAGCCAATAAGAGGCTAGAGATAATTGGCCAGGCAGTGTTTAAATGAATACAGTTTCTGTGTGGTTATTTTGGGTATAAGCTAACCAGGTGGTTGGGACAAACAAGGTACCCCACTTGCTACTACATGAGTATTTTCTTTCAAAGAAAAGAACAGCATGCTTCCCACACCTATGTCCAATAATCTTTCAATTACAATGTTATGTATATGCATTGTTAGCTTTGGTCTTTGATCATTTATAGAATTTTGCCAAACATATATTTCCTATTTCCTACTGGAGTTTTGATTCATACCCCATATCTATCCTATCATCTAGAACAGTGTGGTTTTTTTGCAGCAGGCACTGGATTTTTAATTTTGCTAGTGAGAAATGTTCTCCACAGTAACCGGAAATGACTGGACCATGTTTGACATGAAAGACTCGAGAGGTCTTTCAAAGATTTCCTTGATGATATCAGGTTGCCTTGTCTGCCTTTTGTTTAACTACATTCATTGGGCCAATTTAGGCCTTTGCCACATCTTCTGCATAGTCTAAAAGACTGACACATTCTATCTTTGTTATTTTCAAAGTAGGCATTATTTCTAGGAATTCCTTTTCTACAACCTCTTCTCAGATCTCCTGTTCTACCAAAATTAAAGCATTTGGCATTTTGATATCTCCTTATAACTTTGAAAATAAATATTATCCAAGTCTCAGTATTATAGTCAAATGTCTCAATGTTCATTGTATGCAGAATCCATTCATCCATTGTTGCTGATCTAACTTTTAAAGGTCCAAGTATCTTTTTCCACTCTATTTTGGCAATTTCAAAAGTAGAGATTCAATAAGTAGTCACCTAGATTCTAGGTCTGTTACTCCAATGTATACAACCTTATTTTTTCTTTGTAAAAAGTCACTAAAAGGTTATTTTTGGTTTTGTTTAGCCCTAATATACAATTCAATTATTTTTCCTGGTTCTTGAATCCTGTTAAAAGCATTTAAGACTGCTGTGTGGCAAGATGTGTTCATTGTAAAAAGTTCCATCCTGTGGGTCAGCATAACTGACCCCTTCAAGAATTTGATCATGGGAAGCCTCAAATCCTTTTGCTTTTCCCCATTGTTCTAAAATGTTTGTGTCTTCTCAACAATAGTATTAGCACAGTAGTTGTGGCCATCTTCAGGAAAACTGAAACTAGTTAAAACCAATTATATGGGGTAGCCTGTAAGCCTCCTCACTTTCTGTGGATACCCAGGCCTAATCAAGGAGCACGCTTTCCTGAACCAGGGCCACGAGAATGGACGATTGTCCTAAGGGTTTAAACAGACAAACACAAGAGACCTGCTTGCTTGCCAAAGAGTAAAAAAACCCTTTATTAAACTCAAGTTGGGTATTTATACCAGG